CAGTTGGTTTAATCGCTGATCTAGCAGAAACCGATTATTACCATCCGCCATCTGACTTGCATTTTGAATCTGTTACTAACTAGCTGATTCAAGAGTTATTCAGGCATAGAAGAAATAAATATTTTGTTTCTCCCTTGAGTTCCTAGTGGAACATAGGGATTCAGTAGCATGTCTCCATTCCAATCTGTTCTCTGAAATCTTTTGAACCTGGTCCCACCACAGCCCACAAGCTCTCATTTCTTCCTCACATCATCTCCTCCATGTCACCCTCCACTCGGACGCCCAACTCGTCGTCTCCCCTCTGGATTCCACTCGACGGCCTGGCCTGGTGCCTGATGTGCCCAGTCGGTCTTCCCAGTGTATGCCCAATCCAATCCAATCCATCTCCACTTCCACTTCCACTTCCTTCTGCATATTTGTTGGATGATGGGTTCTTGGTTGGTTCGTTGCCAGCCAGCCAGCCAGCCAAACTTCGTTGTTGCTCATTCTTTCTGGCCATCCATCTGATCTTCAGTATTGAGTGAGCGTAGGTGGCAGCTGTTGATCATGCATATCTGTAGTTTGTTGGAAATGCTTTTCGTAACATGCCGAGTTTGTCAACCATCACATAGAAGCACTGACTTGACTGAGTTGATGTTGAAAATCCGGATCTTGTTCACGCTATATGCTGAGTGCAGTAGATCTCCACACTGGTTTCAGATAATTGAAAGCCTGTTTTATTTTACGATCCTCATCTGTGCATGTGCCACCTGTGGTTGGAAGGATTCTGCCTTGATAGGTGGGCGAAAGAGACTACTTCCTTTAGATTTCTCCCATTGATAATGATTGGCGCTTGTTGTTGTTTTTGTTAGTTAGGTATCTCCATCACCTCTGTCTCCTCTACGTTCACCTGAAGGAAGTCCCGTCTTCACTGCCCTACCTCTCCTACCAACCTGTTGCTGTTGCCTGTACATCTCCGAGTTTCTACGACAAGACATTAGACACAAATCATCACCGTTGGCGAAATCCAAATCTTCTAGGCTCTTCTCATCCATCCAGCCAACGTATGCCCCTCTTCTCGCTCCTCACGATTTCTTGCCTCACCCAGTCCACTCCAGTCCAGTCCAGTCCAGTTGACTGCAATCAGAAAGGTGATCGGTGATGGTAGGTGGCAGTCTTGTCTTACTTGTCAACCTGTCTTCACTTCAAAGGCGTCACTGAGCTTTCCACTGTGAATCACTCGGTATGTGGTGTCGTCATATAGCTGCTGTTGAACGAGGTTGATGAAGGTTTGTGGCACTAAAACCACATTGTTGAAGCAGCTGCCTGACAAATCACTTCTCGGTCGACGATGTTGAAGGCTTTTGAAAGTCGATGGAGTTGAGGTAGATTTGAGTCGACTACCATTCAATGATCTGTTCTATGATGATGTGTAGCGCAGTGAAACGTTGTGTTGCAATTTGATCCCTCCTCTGTCAGCTTCCATGTGTCCATCAAGGTCCGTTCCTTGTCTTGTTTCTTCTTCCTTCCTAACACTGTTATGCACGTCTCTTTCAAAGAGTCCCAGTGTTCTTCCACGCAGGTTTATTCACGGATGTTGTCTAATGTCTTCCATTTTTTCCTGACACGACGTGAAGATGTCCTTTGTAATTTCGTCCTTCAGTCTCACTCTTAGGTGGGTGTTGAACTTGAACTGTGGTCTGTCACCATCTTTTCTGAAGGCTTTCAACTTGATTTTGAAGGTTTCTTGCACTACGTAGTGAGTGGTTTCAACCTACATCTGCTCCCCTACCTCATCTGATCTGGTGTCCAGTGGGCTGACTGCGTCTCCACTTTCTTCACATTGAGATGAAGTTGATCTGATTTTTAGTGTAGTGTGTCCTGGTGTCTGATGAAATCCATGTCGCTGCCTTGTGAATATTCTTGTGTTTGTACACTCTACCTCGACTCCAATCACCAGATGGTTGAATGTGCGGAAGTCTACAAACAGTTCTCCAGTCTCATTCATCATTTCACCTAGTGCTTCTCAACCCATGATGAGTACTTTTCCTGTGTTGCCTGTTCTCAGTTTGACACTCATGTCATGCATTAGAAGTTTGATGTCGCCAACTGGGGTGTAGCCTTGTCCTGTACTGATTTCAGTTGTCTATGGAATTCCTCCTTCTTCTCCTCATCTGCATTATTTGTAGGTGCGTAGCGTAGCATTAAATGATTGTGACCTTCCTTCCTTTTGAGTTGAATCTTGCTGTCATGATTTGGATACTGGAGGAGATTGGTTCCCACTGCATGACACAGAGAGTCTTCGATGCTGTTGGGGACATCATGATAGCCACTGGAAAACTGAGCGTCCTCGTGGTTGTCGTCTGTGTGACAATATCGGAGTAGATTATTGACTGTCCAGTTGACAGTTTGGAGAGTCCACTTCCATTCCATCTGCTTTCGCAAATTCCAAGCACTTCAGTGTGATACCTTCTCATCTCCTTTGCAGTCTAGGCAGCCTTGCTAGTTTCAAACATGGTGCGGACATTCCATGTCCCCACATTTACTTTCACTCTCATCGAGGGAGAGAAGACACATCAGCCGACTGGCTTCTCGAAAGCGTTCACGAACCGGCATCATTTCGTCTCCCCGATTGCAGCGAGGAATAGTTTTTTTGATATTTTCTTTGTGCTTTAGAGGGATTGGATTGGTTTTCCGGAGTAGGGTTGCTAGCCCTATACCCAACCTTCCCTGTTTACCCGGGCTTAGGACCGGCTAGTAACTAGTGAACTAGGTTATGGAAGCTGTAAGAGGACAAGAAATTCTTAGAATTAAAACATGTCTTACTGAATTGTGCTGTCGACCACAAAGCATAGATCTACATTCTCTCGTCAATTGTCATTAAATATCTTACAATATGGAATTAAATACTAGAACACAATATCGAAAAGAGTGCTCTCAAGGTTCCCAGTTTTAAACGAAAACACTACCACTCGGTGAAGTAAAAACTGCTTAATTTCACCTCTCCTTTCGGAACAAATCTCGGTTTTCAACCCTTTATTGCTGATACAACTATTAATGTCAGCAATGTCACAATCTTTTCTGATCACATTGGCTTGAACAAACGAAGTTTTGGTCTAATTAACAATTACTTCCTTGAAGTCGAACCATTCCTACCCTACAGCTGACGAAATCAGCCTACAGTAGGATATACGATTATATAGGGTTTATATAATTCACACTAGCTAGTATATTCTACTGAGGAATATCAGTAGTTTACAAGCAATAATATCACTCAGTAATGTGAAGCCTGCAGGGTATATTGTGTATGCAGATAGGAAATAGGGTACTTGTCGCAAATAACAACAGTCTTGATGCAATACCGCAACACAAAACAATCTCCTCCCTGGAAGTGGAAACATGGATTGAAATTGGCACATAATTTATTTCTATACATTTAGTTAATGAAGTAAATGAACTGATACATTTGGATAACTCACATTTTTCAAAGTGTTTCTGGTCTGAACTTTGATGAATTGAACCAAATTACTACTGCTTCCAGGCTATTTGTAAACTGTGAGGGAGAAAAACTTTCCCAACAAATTCTTGTGTTAATCTACAAATTTAGTTTGTTCATTACCAATGAGACATTTTCGTAAATATAATTGAATACTATAGGCCATCAAACACAACTCAGTTTCGTGAAGGCCAGAGTCGAGTAGTTTCGATCTTAGTTTGCTCTAAAACTACCAAAATTTATGAACTTGTTGCTGGATAACTGAGGGTAATCAATGGGAAACCTCATACTTAAACTTAACTTCGTTTGACTTCGGTCAACAAGAGATATCTAAAAAGTCCTGGATTTCTTAAGGATCCCAAGATTGAAATTCACAGTACTTCATTATGCATTAAACATAGGCATTTGGAATATTAACCTACCAGATCTAACTGTTATTCTTCAAACAGTTAAATTAATTATGCGAATAGGTAAACTGACATAACTTTGGTTTTGTTGTGTTCTCTGAGCTGAGCGGTTTAATGGTGAAGCTTTCACTGTATTTCTAGACAACATCATCGGCACTAAGTTCACTATGAAACCACCCAGCTCAGAAACACGACGCTCAAAATCATCCACCTAAACTGCAAAAATTATCCACCATTTAAAAATTATATGAACGTAACACTCTTCGCGTTGTTCGAAGATGGGAGGACTTCTCCAAGAGACAAGCTTACACAAGAGAACAACTACTCTTTCTTAATGAGTGCCAACGTCAGCATGTTCGGTTGAACTGTGTCAGAAACCAACATTATCAATGAAACTGTCTCAGCTTCGGTAGATTAATGTAACTAATGCTGGATTTCGTGGCTCAACTGATACAGTACCACGATGTCAGTTCAGGGACTCCTTCGAAATTTCCGCTGCGATAGTAACCAAACTTAAATTTTAATATTGCCCCGTTATCTAATGCAATATCTTCACTCCATAATTTGATCTTTTGATATCCGTTCACCCTCAGGACTATCTAATGAAATCGATTATCATAAATTTTGATCCTTACTCAACCTATAATAAACTGACTCTGATGTAATATGCCATCATATCCTTTCTTTTTACAATCTTGCAGACGAAGAAAACCACTTTCAAATTTTCCTGCCTCAAAAATATAAAGAAACAGATAAATAACGTACAATGAATCAAGAATTTGAGTCAAATTATGGAGTAGATTTACGTGAATCCTCTCTACCAATACAGTTGGATAATGTGGATCAATGTTATTATGATTTCATGAAAAGCTGACACCACAAAAGTTGGGACAAAAATCAGCAAATTCCATGAGTTTACCATCAGATTTAAAAACTTCTCCCACCATTTCTTGTTGTCGCAGCATCTGTAATACTGATAGCAGTTTTCATTTGACAAGATGTTGTAATGCACCAAAATTTCAACACATTTTGCATCATTTAATATTAATTTTATTGGGCATTTCAATAGCTCTGTCTATACTACTTTTGTTGTTAGGTATATTTTTAAATTGTCGTGCATGCTTGACAACTGGTGTATTTTAGGGATAGCCAGCTTCGGTGCTTTATTGCATGGATGTTTACGTCACCGCTCACTGCCTAATTCATCAATGCCAATTATCCTGAGTGCATCATGTATGTATCCTATTGGAGGTAACATCCCAATGTCACCTAATCATCTGCATCGAAAACAACATTGTCAACAACAACAACAACAATATGAAAGCCAACCTAGAACTTTGCTAATGAAACCGTTAACCAGACATTATTTTATACCAGAAGATGCCTATTTTACCAGTGACCATTGTTACCACGTTAATTCCGATAACAGAATTTGTAATTGTGGCAAAACCACTGAAAGGTGGAACAAAAGAAACTTAGATTATTTACTACAAATAAACCAATTACAAGCTAGTAATGATTTTAAATCCACTCTTCTTCAGGAGAATGAAAATGCAGAATATCCCAGTAACACATCACCATCGCTGGCAATCACAGTATCAGTTGCAGCTTCAGCACCTTCTTCAGCAGTGCAAGATAACAATAACACTGCCAATGAACATTCATTTGAACCCAGAAACAAATTAACTAATTCTGTTCCTTGTAAACTATGTAGAATTAACTCATATCCGCGTCATTATGTATATCAAAGTGAATATGCCAATAAATTAGAAAAATGTTTGGAATATCAAGCTCACGGGTCGTGCACATATAAGGATACAGACCTTAACAAAGGTAAGATAAGAATTGCTTTAAAACAGAATATTGAATATTTTCTTAAGTGTTGTCTGTAACTAGGTTTTATTCACATAAATATTACAGATTAAGTGAATTCCATTAGAATACGCTATAGAAACAATCTCATTTAAACATAGGAAAACACACGTTTGCGGGAAAGAAACATTTTTCTTTTCGAAGAAATCATCCTCCTGGCTGCACATCGGTGAATATATTCATGGACGTACAGCTAAAAGAATGATTTTGCTAAAAGAAAATGTACTCCTTGAAAAAACAATCGGCGATGAACCTAGACGTTATAGGTCCTTAGTAGACAATTTATTCTCAGAATATCACTTATGAGCGAACCATACGGTATTAAATGTCACACTCAACCAACATCATTCAAACATGACAAACTAGTATTGAATTTCAGAGGTATAGGAGGAAAACATTTTCTAGCCTGTTCATAACTCTTTACTAACCCTAAAGGTAATTGCTAAAGCTAAGCTTCTTAATCGAAATTTCTGCGGAATTGTGTTTCACTGAATAAGAGACTGAAAAGTCGCAAGCCAGAAAAGTTTTCAGAGGGTTTCATTCCTCATGTTGATTGGCATCCAGTGATAATGCTTCTAAATATGGCATATTCCGTTGCTTCTAATAGATTCTTCAGAAGAATTTTATACATTCCTCATGAAATCAGACACCAAACTGCAGTTTATAACTTTTGGTTGAAAATGAAATCAAATATAATATACAAATTATATCTGTGGCGCAACCAATCAGACAACACGACAAAAGTCGTTGCACTGTTTATATGAAACCATTCCTCATGCTCATGTTTCATAACTTTCTTGTACAACAAAACAGTCTAGAATGAAAACTTGCTTATCTTACAACCACAATGAAATTGGCCTGAAGAATATTTTTTCATTCAGTTCACTGTATAAAATTGATAATAATGGCCAATCTCTCTTCTTTTTATGAAACATCAGGCAGTGTTACTGGACATCATTAGATGAAGTTCTAACTTCCTCCATATGTCCTATAGTGAATGATGCCTACAGATTTTAACCTCGGCATCCTATTGGATTGTTGATGATTGTAGGCTTTCTGTTGGTACCTATCAGCCTATAAGCCAGTTTACATTTACTTCTATGATATCTCTAAAACCATATGAAAATGTATTTTCCCAGCTAAATTCAAATCGCTGCCTTTTAGTTTCAAACCAGAAATCCAACTACTGAGCTACTGATATCAACGTAATCACTAGATTGGTAAACTTATCTGTTCAATGTGACCTTATATGTCCCCGTCAAACCTGGCACAAATCATCTACGTAAACACGGCATTCTTTTGCAGTGTACATTGAAATTAGTGGTGGTAAATACTACTTCCTTCATATTTACTACATGTCTATATTCCACAGTCTTCGTTCATGATCAAATTAAATCAGATAAAAGGTACGATATTGTAGTGAAAAAGATTAATTTAGAATAAAAGCTAAACAAAGTGGTGGCAAACTTTCAAAATCTTACATATTCATGAATACAGTTTATCGTGATATAATTAATAAACCAATCTACTACCTCGGTTGGACAGACAAACAATTGAATTTTTAAACAGTACAATAAAACACTTTTTCCTGGCAAACAGAGATAACCTAAAACCTTCTCATATTCCAGATGACTTCACAAAAGAAGATAATGATCAGCTGACAGAAGTACACACTGAGACGAATATGGAAAATAAGGAAGAATCAGCCGAAGAATTTCAGGATCCAAATAATTATTACATTGTGTAATAACTTGTTCAATCAACAACTAAGTATTGTTTTAGTCAGTAATAACTCATGAATAAACTAATGAAATAACTCAGCCATCTCATTTCATCATGTAACTGTCACTTGGAACTCCATTTTTCTAACACCGATGAAGATCTCACCAACTGCTCATACAGAATTGCATAGTTCGAAAAGTATTCTGTTTAAGTTCACTCTCCATAGAACTGTTCTCATACATGAAAGGTCAACACTATACTAGCTAATAATGATGAGGCTAGAAGAAAAACATAATTTATAAATAACCACTAAAAAGACAACAAAATAAACTGAAAATTCTAGTTGCCTACTATTGCTAATCTGAGAAGTACCCTGAACAGTCTTATGCATCTTCTGTATACAAACATTTATAAGAGGTTCATTCAACTCAGCCTCCTTTTATGAGCAACATGCTTCATGCTCGTGCTTCATCTTCAGTAAGGTTATTAAGCAAAGCCTAAAATCTAAATTTCATAACCCTCCTGTATTGCTTACTTCTTTGACTAGCTAAAAGTCCAATACTGTTAACAAGCAGTGAGTTCTCTTTTGTTTTATAACACGAATTATGGTTCGAATAACTCGGACTATTTAAAAGAAAACGTGGTAGTTCATAATGGATTTCCTTAAATAATGTTTATCGCTTTGGAGTGTACTCACTCTATCTCAAAACCAGAAACAGATTGTAGGCTATGTGACAAAGATTACGCTTAGTCTTTTTGGAAAGTAATAGTATTTTTGAACATACTGACTAACCAAGATAGAAACTGTGAACACAAATTAGATATTCTTCTTGGGTGTATACAACTATTGTTGTTCAAATACAACTTACTGTAAAACCAATATTTGATGACTTTTAACTGAATGTAAACACCAACGTATTGAGATACCTTTATGATGATCAAGATGAGTGCTGTAACAACTATAGAATTTTATCAGTTGAACCTTTCACATTTTATCTTATGTGTGACTCGAACAAAAGTTGGATCAGTGAAAATTTCTCACTGCAAATTTGAAACTATTTGCTTCGTATCAACTATTATGGCGGGCTGTAATAGCATATGATTATGCTGGCAAATATGGCAAGTATACTACCTGACTCATAACGCAACCATGGATTCCTAAGTATTGGTCTCAGTCTACAAAAAGGTTCAGTCAGCGCTGAAATAAGTTAATGATACAGTTTCTGACGACATGATAAACTGATGGTATTTGAATGTACAACGAAGCATGAACTTCTTCAAGAGTTCAGGTGCACCTTTCTGTCGATGACTTACAGAAGCGGAATTTGGGTTTCAGACTTGATGAACTTCTCACATTCTACACGAATTTTAAAGTGTATTAAACAGTATCTTTATCATCTTGCGATTGTAATGGTAATGTTGATACTGTAACAGTATTAGTGCCGTTTTATTTTTTTATTTCTGTATCTAGTTTTATCTGTACGGTTGGATTTTTTAGTGACTTCCTAGAATGCAGATTTCTTGTCTTCTGTAGGAAGTACACCTTATAAATTGATAGATACAACCACAGTTATAATACAAAAAAAACTTTCTACTACTTCTCATTAAGTAAAAAATTACAAAATAGTTGAGGTTTAGAATCAGCTGTTCAGCGTTTTTAATCGGTGTGTTGTTTAGACTAGCTACTGTTGTATCATTGTTTTTCTTCCCTGTAGTGTTATGTATGGTTGCTTTTTCACACAGCAAAAATATCGTTCATTCGACTTTTTGTAATATAGTCATTTACTACTCTATAATAAATATGGAATCTGAAGTCAACAGACCATATATCCTGTGATGTTTCGATATTTTGATTTTAAAACAAGAACGTATGAGAATCTTGTTAACTGGTTCCCACAGAGTTGAGTTATTCTAATCTCGGACAGTGAGCACTATAAATACTTGCTTCGATAAAAATAACTTCCTCTGGTGAATGAGAAAATAGATGGAGAAGTCGCTCTATCTGCATGAGAGAGTCAGTGACGTAGGGTGTAATTTCATAAGAAAGTCATCTTAGAGTAAAAATGAACGAAAATCTCTTTTTCTAATCTTATTGAACAAATATTTCTGTAATCATTGATTTATCTCATTCTACGAAGAGAAGGTATCACATAAATTTGTACTGCGCAGAATAATATTTGAGAAATGAGAACTTTTGTACGAGAAATAGAAAATCTGATGGAGTATGAGATGAGATGTAAGGAAATATTTTAATACAATCCAGGGGTGTCTAGAAGATCGAAACAAGATAAGACTAAATAGGCTAACCTATACATCATCACTGTTTTGATTTTCTAAACACGGTATGATTATATTAAAATATACTCTTATAATGGTTAAATCAGATTCGGTGCTCAACTTCTTCCAGCACATTCGTAACAACTATAGTGTGGATGTTTATGAGGAATATGAGATAGTTTCAAGTGCAACCTAAGTGAAATTTATACAACAAGTATGATTTTAATAAGAACTGGGAAAATTACTACCTCATATCTTCATCTTCAGCTATGGGAATTACTGATCATCATAAGCCACAGTAATATGCAGCTGATAATAAGAAACTTATCTTCGTAGGCTGTTACGTACTTCAGCAAGTTTTCATCAAACATCTGAATAAATGAGGTGACTAGGTTATTACTCTGTCTAAATTAATGTAAAAGTGTAAAGAAATCTTCTCAATGATTTTCAAAACCCTTTATAATTAAATTTTCTCTCAGTTCCTGAAGCCATAAAATACCGACTCTATTTTGTAACCTCAAATCTCAGATACTTTCAGATTAGTTCATTCTGCCAAAAAATATGTGCAATAAAAAAAAAGAACGGCTTACAAGCCTGGGAAGTATTTGCTTATGGAATTATTTCGTTTACTTCATGAAATTTGTATGCAAGTATACATTCCAGAAGTCCCAGGAAACCGAAGTAGCATTGAAACTGTCAGCATTACAAAAGCATCAGATATCGTCCGATACACTTCAACTGCAGACTTGTTATATTTCACCCGTATTCGAAACATTCCCCTATCTCAATGAAAAATCAACTATTGTACTTACTTAAACTCTCATTTTATAAAAAGAACAGAAGTTTTAGTCGAGATTGTGTCGAAATCGTGTCATTCCATTTGAAAAAACCTTTTTTAGGATAAACAGGTTTAGGAGATTGGATGAGTTATCTTCACGTTAGGCATTAGCTCTCGAGTAGAC